GGATTAACCTTATTTACATTGAACCTTATGGGGAAATTTGATTCGGCTCGCGATCAATTCGGCTCGCGACCAGAACTGTGGAACAAATTACGTTCGTGAACCAAGGTACCACTTGTATCTGGCAATACAGAGGCCAGAAATGAACACTAATTTCAAAGTAATGTTCTCTTCTACATCAAGATGACAAAATGAACCCAGGGTAAGTATTTGTTCCCCAATTATTAGCCCTGACTACAAAGTGTGTTTATGGCACTCTGCCTAAAGCATATTTGCCTAGGCTCCTTTAAATGGCTTATCATGTCACACACAGTTGATTGGAAGAGGGATGAAAAAGATGAACAAAAAGACATAGCATGTAAAAGTAATCTAATTTGCCAGGCTTAAGAAGGCTGTTTGCCAATTTCATTATACACTCGGAATCCATAAAGTTTTGTGAAATATCATACAGTATTTGTCAGGCTCCTCCTGTAACTGCAGGGAGGTAAGACAGAATGTAGGATTATTCAACAGGCTTTTTTCCACCAGAACTGTATGGATCTAGCATTATTTAAGAGCTAATATTGAACTTTAAGAATTGGGCCTATATTTCTTTTTTCCCCTTTCTTCCTCCTCCTCCACTCCACTCCACTTTCCTGCTATGCCATAAACATAAAGATAAGACAGGGTTTTCATTGGCTGGTTCATAGTGTGGGAACCTTTTTGCCTTAAATATGTGCTTAAAAAATTAAATGGATACTTTGTTTTCTCCTAGGAAGAAATGGGCATTTTTATAAATTCTGGAACCTTGCTAAATTAATTCTTAGAATTTTATCAGTGAAGTCCAATGAAAAAATTAAAACAGAAGGATTACAATAGGGCCAGCAGTATAGCTGCCCTACTGTGGTCTTCTGAGAAATGAGAGGTATCTGTTCTGTGAAATTTGGGAGTCTGAAACAACAGCTAACACTTTTAAAATAAGATTCACAGGAGTAATTTAACTCTGGCTAGATCTGAATTTTGCAATTACCATACTGGTTGGTTCTGGGGTTTTAGTGACATAACACTAAAACAATGAGGAGGAAAAAAAACAGGAATAAGTACAAGAAGCAGAAGCTGTTATATTTGGACCCCCCAAAATAGGATGTGAGTACATGCAAACCCTCTCATTAATGAAAAATATTAACTGTATATTTTCATCCACCTAATATGAAAAAGTACCTGGATATATTATATAAAAATAATAAAGAATAAAAGAAAAACCAAAACCAAAATCCAACAGTAAATTCAGAAAACAGAGTAAGATACAGAAGATCCCATTAAAACAGCCATTCCACAGAGAACATTATGTATCTCCAAAGAGATTATTTCTACAATCCAAAATGACTGGAAGATGTCCTCATCTAACACCAAAAATAATAAATAGTGACTACATTTGCATGATACACATAACATCCTTAAAAGATTCACCCTCTCAACTCCCTGGGGCATGACCTACAGCATCATAACCTGGGTTCTCATACTGTAGTATGCTAGGATAAAATGAGATTTATTGTGGTTCAGTGTGTTATGCAAACATAGCCAGTTTTTCATATAGTGACTACTACTCAGGCTCTCAAATATTTCAACAATGTATTTGTTAGCCTTCAATGTACTTAAAAGCTGATGTAACCCATATGTTGGAGAGGGAGATTCAAACTCAAAATCTCAAATCGGTTACAGAGTCTTATTAGTGACCTTGAACTACTGTAATTTTTTAGCCTAAAGTACCTCATAGAATCACAGTAACAAGCAATAAGGGAGAATAATAAAGGTGTAGATTACCTGCGGAAGCAATCGCGGTGGGAGTGGGGAGGGTAGAAACGATACAGATTAACAGTAATCTGAATTCTCCAACGGAAAAAAAAGATAAAAGTCTAAGCAAAGCACAGTCAAATGGAGACAACATTTGGAAGGGAAGACTGGGGCGGGGAGGGGAGGAAGAAACGTGAAAGAAAGCAAGAGAGTTATTGCGCTACCCTTCTTTTCATCGGGAGTTCAAAACCTCTCAAAACCCAAAACAAGGAGAAACGAACTACGCTTGTCGGAGAAACCTCTTCCCTCCCTCCGCTATTCTTTGAGGTCAGAGAAAAAAGCCCCCGCCGGCAGCCGCCTTCCCACCTGCAGTACGAAAGCCCCGAAACAGAAATCGCCCGGTGGTTCCGAGGAGCAACTGGAGGCGACGCCACCCCCAGCCCAGGGTCACACTCACGCCGCCACCCGCAGCCCAGGAGGCCGCCATTACATGCTCCACGTGACTGCCTGGCGGGGTCAGAGGTCGGCAACGGTTTCCAGGGAGACAAAACGCGGAGGGCGGAGTAAAGAAAGGGCGGGGCTGGGAAGCGATTCCTAACCGGGGCTGAATCCGTTACGATCGACGCTCGGAGCAGGCTTCTTTAACCTGACCTCCTCTGCTTTCGTCGGACGGGAGAGCACGAGGTCTGAGCAGGCTGATCCTTAGTGCTGAGAACAGTTCGCATACGCTGACTCCTATGCCTTGCACGGTAGGCAGACCATAGTTGGAACTAACGACGAAAGAGGGTGTTGGGGCTGAGAGAAAGTGACTTGCTTGCAACCACCTAGTGAGTTTGTGGCAGAGATGAAATTGGAGCCCACCGCTGTGGATTCAAAGTTCAGTCGCGGGGACACCAACTCTAGGCGAAGGAGTTCGGTTCTCTGAATGTTTGTGCAGCTCACAGGCAGCTGCGTGAATACTTGAGTCTACTGGAAGTCTGTTATCTTGGGATCGACGAAGAAAAATCATTGGCAGATTCTAAAGCTCGCTAGTTTCATTTCAGTAATCCTGGGAATCTGGCCACAGTAACTTTTGTCAAGTGCTTTTCCTGCCTTACCTCTTTCCGCTGCTTGTTTTTTAAAATTCTTTTTCATTTTACATCTGTTCAAAAATTTAAATCTCACTGGCTCTTGTTGGAAACAGAAGACTGCATAGCTGGGTCTGATCAATCAAGAGGTATTGTTTTATCATTGATAGGGATGAAAAGCTTCCTTTTAGAAAGAGATGCTGACAAATTAATTGTTGTGTATCTGTTCATTCACACACAATCTCCCTTAATATGCATTTCACAAACATTCTCTACCTACACATATTTTTGTTGTTCAGTCGTTAAGTCATGTCCATCCAACTCTTCGTGACCCCATGAACCATATCACACCAGGCCTTCCTGTCCTTCACTGCCTC